CTCCCCAAAACCCCAAAACCCCAAAACCCCATTTTATTTTTAATATTGAATACAACCTATTGGCTGGAATAATGGAGAGAGACACTATTGAGGCTGGCTTGGACCCCAACAAACCTCCCAAGAAAGAACCAGTTTTTCGTTTATGCTCTAAAGACCGCAGAAGACGATTTAGGCTTGCAAAAACCGTTCTGAATCAGTATTTTAAGACACTAACTTTAGAAACCGATCATTAAAGGAAATTCAAATACAGAGAAGCAGAGGTTATAGGCCAATTGGAATTCTCTGAGATAGCGTACTCATATATCTTAAAAATCTAGGCATTAAAGAGTATCGCTCATGTAGCCTCTCTCAAGACCCAAACTATGAAAAAGCTGCCTTGACAGTCATTTCTGATCGATTATCAAAAGATTCCTAAATTCAATGAAGGCTCATATTCTGTTGAGGACAGAGATTATCGTAAAGGATTAGACAATTTAGGGCATGCTATGTTTCGGTACTGGTTTTTCTAACATTCTAGGACAGTTAACAAAAGGAAGTCCATCCAAGAGCAAACTAAAGTGCTTGAAAACCGCATCAAAATGCTGAAGGGTTCTGAAAAATAAGGAACATTCTAAAATGGAAAGAATCGGAGAACAGATGAATAAATTCGCAAAGATTCGCCAAGCCCGCTTTGATGAGCAAATACTTCATCAAAAATAGTAAAATGTAACTTTGACCATAATTTGCTTTAGAACCATCGAACGAGAGATTAAGAAGAAAAAGACTCAGATTAACAAATTTAAAAAGAGAATCAATGATAGTATAAAAGAAAAATAAAGATGAAATATTTCATCAAAAGTACACTTCCAAAAAAAGCAACCATAACTAATATAGCCGGATGAGGAAGGAAAAAATCAGCTTTGAGCTCGACCAGGCTAAAAACTATGAGAATGACCGGAGTTTGGTTCAAAATTAATAGTTATAGAAAGCATCCTTTGCAAACTCAAGCCTAAAGAAGCAAATTCAGAGTATGAAAGCAGGGTCCTCAGAGAGAAGCAGAGGATCAAAATAAACAAAGAGAAATTCAGAAGGATGGAAGCCATCGAGCAACAAATCCTAGAGAGGTATAGTAGCCATTATTACATTCAGACTAAATGAGACCCAAATAAAACGACAAAATATGTATGATGAGTTCATCAAGAAGACAATAGGAGATAGAAATAACCAGAAAGAAGCATCAAGTGGTATAAAGCCATCTGTCAGTTTAAGATTGAAGAGATCTAAGAGCAAATCGTAAAAACAAGTTTGTTTGAGAAGAAATGGAGTTAAAATTTTGGTTAAAATAAATCTGACTGCAAGCTGTTACTGTGTTTTACTTTTATAAATACTAGTATTTTCAATTATCAATTAAAATATCGGGGTTTTGGGGTTTTGGGGTTTTGGGGTTTTGGGG